AGATCATCCTGCTTATCCGAGTGTTAAGAGGATTCTAAAGTCATCTGTGTTTCACTGATTATTTTTCAAATAAATATTTTTCGAATTACTTTTATAGATTTAAAAATCCTTTTTTATAATTAAACTATAAATGATACAGTCCAAATTAGTTGATATTAAATCAAAAACGAAAAGAAATTAGAAATTTTTGTGATTAAATTTATTAGAATTCTAATTGAGATAACCAGAATTTTGGTTATCTCAACTAGATACACACATTTCTATCAAAATCTACTAAAATTCTTATTTTTACCAGAATAATTATATCAATCAGAATTCTAGCTATCTCAAATTCTAGTAGATTTAATTAAAAAATTCTGATTCCTCCATTTTCCATTACTGTTTAATCCAGACTATCTTTTTCAGTGTATAATATTAAAGATAGTTGAAAAATTTGTATGTGTGTGATATTGAAAATGTGTATATGCATGTTGAAGTAATAATGTACTACAGTAATGTATCAATGACATGTGTATAGATCTTGAATCGGTAAAACAGATGATTTTAGACTCCCTTTAAAGGTTGCATACGCTACATGAAAACTGGAAGACATACTGAGAACCCCTGGCACGCACAGGCGCATATAAAGTAATAAGTTTGTCACTCGACACACCCTGGCCGGCGATCATACAAAATTAGGATCGAGTGAGATCTAATGTAATGTAACAGTTATGAAGAGGGGAAAATAAACATCCATAAAAAAAGATATGAGGAACAAATATAGAAGTACAATTCACAGTAACGCATTCAATTATCTTCATATATTACGATGACATAAACTTTCACGTTTATATCTCTCATCTTGTTTGTCTAATTAATTAAACGCACGAATGTTTATTCTACTTTCGCTTTAGTCCTTGTATAGATATTTGTCTCATTACGTATTTACATATTTTACTTTCATACATATTTTATTTTCAAATTCTTGTGTTCAATAGTGCATTGTACGTCGGATGAATGCGGTCGAAATCGAAATATCCACATTCGCAGGAAATAAAGATTAAAAGCTTACTGTGTTAATGTATATAAACATGTCGCTTTCCTTATACAGTATCTTTACGAAAATACGCGTTGCTTGTGTTTCTTGCGCAATATATAATACAAGGAAAGCTCAACGTGTTAGATTACATTAATCCATAATGAAACATATGGGTTCTGGTAACTCTGGTAATAATTTAAAAAAAGAATTAAAAAAAGAAATTTTCTAGAAAAAAAATTCAACGTATTTATATCGAACAAGATTTAGAATCAACAAATTCTATCAATAATATTTAATTTAATTTAATTTAATTTAATTTAATTTAACTTTTATTTGTATTTCTCAAACAGTGTTACACCAGATTATAGATTAAGAATATACTATAAACTTAAAAAATTCTTAAAAAAACTAATAACAAGAACTTTAATGAATCCCAAGACTCATGTTCCTGTTATGAGTTAATTAACTGCTTTCTACATTACACTACTCATTTGCCATGCACGTGTCGAGTTTCATTGCTCGGATTTTCATCGTATTGCAGAGTATCGTATCGATTGTAATAAAATGGAAGATATGTTCTCGATAATAAATAAATGATCGACACATTACGTCGCTGTCTTGATGCTTTCGAAAGATTGTTTACATCGTGCACGGCGTTATAATTTACAACGTTTATTAGCATTGAGTCTTAAATGTGATGACGCGACATTGATCTTTCGCATATACAGAGTAAGATAATTGAATCTTTACAATAAACAGCTGTATATTCTTTGCTGCAATTCGCAATTTAAAGCGTCGATCACGGCCCTTTAAATCCTCTTAAACATCATCATAGCTTCTCTGATCTTCGTCTAATATATTTGTCGTTAAGTAAATATTTCGCAACGACCAATATTGCAGCTTGCGCGAAATGACTTGTGCTTTCGTCTTTGATTTTTCATTATCTGATTAACTCGTAATTTAGATGTAATCTCACTTAACCCTTAGTACATATGATTGGGTCATTATGTCCTGCACATTTCTTTTCTTCAAAAAATTAAATTAATAAATTAATTAAATAAAAGCATCAAATAATCAGTACAATATTTATATAAAATTTTTTTAACGAATAATCTTATACTTTTTAAAGAAGTATATGTAAAAATCATTTAATAATTGTGTGCATTTGTTAAAATGATGAAAATTAATCAGGAACACAAATAATCTATCATGTATAGTAAAGAATTGGAAAATCATTGTATATACTAAAAATTAATTTGATGATAATATAAAAATTGTGTATTTCTATGTTATGATTAATCACTACATCAATGGTTCCGTTGTGGTTTAGATTTTAAGGTTCGTTTTCACAATATATGATTATATCTAAAAATTAGAGTTTCATCAATGAAATTCATTCATGAATTTCTTGGTAACCTTTACTTTTTAGATAATCTTGCATAAGGCCTTTTCTTTTTCCACGTCAGGACTGAATTTCTTGCACGGTTTATTTTTTCTCTTTTTCTCACCGACATAAAAAAATAATAAGAAGGATAAGAATAAGAAAATGGACCATGCAAAGAAGTTCAATCCAGAAAAAAATAGGCCTATTGTGAAGGCTTAAAAGTTCACTACAAAATTATCAACTTAATGATTAACCATAGATAGAAAAATACAGTTTTTATTTTATCGTCAGACTAAGCCCAAGTTAATCAACAAATAAAATATTCACAAGATATTCTAAGATAGAAAAGATAAACACAAGTTCCGAGAATCATAAAATTGTAAAGAGATGTATTATTTTTCCGGAGAGTCACTTGAACTTATCGGAGAAAATAAGAAGAAAAAAATTGAACGTATGCTGGTCATTCACAGCGCCGAGGAAACAGTAGTAAATTATGACAAATGGCACTTTCATCGGCACCGGACTACTTACTCCGGCACGTTGCTCCGTGCCATACAGATGCTAAATCGGTTGTTCCCATTTCGCGACGCACAGGTGAGAACAGGGGCGGTAACGTTCTCACGTGCGAGTGCGAAAAAGCGGCGTTTTACGGAGCACGCCGAAGGCAGGCGATGGTGACTGATCAATCGTCTCCTTTCTCCATTTATGGACCGCTCACGTCATGTGCTCTGACTAGGAGACCTCGCAGCCGCGAATCCAACGTTGTTGACTTCGATTGAGTGTTAACCTTTTGTACTGCCATGTGATTTAATCCGTAACAAGGATACATATTTTTTTGACTTAAGGCCCTTCACTTCAACTTACTGCACTGTGTATCAGTTCTGAGAGTTTATCGATAAAAAAAAGAATAAATCTTATTATGAATATACTTATTGTAAGAAAGAATCTTGTCCGGGGCAGTCAAAATGTTAAAATCAGAAACGAAGATCTTAAGCTCTCAGGTCAGAAGAATGACATATTGAAAAAGATGATATACCTGCACATTTGCTGGATTATATTTGGTAGTTGTAAGTAAATTCTCGTAGACTAGTCTGCGACAATAATAATCGAATATTGTCTGGGAAATATATGTGTGTCATCTATTCAAAATGCCATTCTTTTGACGTTCTTCTGACCTGAAAAGATTTTGGTTTCTAATGATTTTAACATTTTAACTATCCTGGTTAAGATTCTTTCTTCTGTCTCAGTTTGAGGAGGCTAACTATGTTTTCCAACAAAATAATATGCAACGTATTTTACATTTTATGTCTGATTTGTTCTTTCTTTTATTAAATAAAATTTATTTAATTAACTGATGATATACACATTTGTTTGGACAGTGTTTTTATAATATTAGTTTGTTTTAATAACGTATTAGATTTTAATTTTCTCTTCAAGTATGGTCCTCTTTTAATCTTTATTTACGTACTTATTTACGTACTTATTTTTCTTTTGACTGAAGAAGTCTATGATTTTAAAACAGCCCCTAATATTTAATAACATAAACATATTTTATTATTACTTTTCAATTCACTATTGTCTCATATTATTTTCTTTATTGTATTATTACTTTATAAAAACAAGCTTTAAAAGTATTATATTCCAAATTAGCTATAAAATTATTCCAAATTACTGTACTATTTAAAATTTATTATTTAAAAATGTCACCTAAAGTCACCAAACCCATATGCTTCAATTACGAGTTAAGTTATTATAGGGCATACTCATATATTTATATTATTTCCCTGCATTCGGTTAGCGCAGAAGTATTATTTTATCCTTGTTGTTCACCAAGTGTTAAACAAGGGTAAATGAATGCATCCTTTAAATTTTAATGACTGCGTTCAGCAGAAAAAAGTTTTATAACTGTTGTAAGATTCTTTAATGTAATTTGTTTATATATCTAAATCCCTGAGGAACAAAGGGCATAAATCAATTATATTAAAGACTTACAAAGCTGCAAAACTTCTTTTTCTGTTGAACGCAGCCCACGATTTAATCAACGTTCCTTGCTTACCAGTTATGTAATTTTATTTTATCCAGCAAAAAAACTCTGGTTATACAAGGTTAAAGGTGAATTAATTTGAATTCATATTGCTCCATCTTTTCCTCAATTATAATTCAACTTTAACAGAGAACAGCACATAAAGAGCATCTTAATTTTAATACAAGTGTCAACAATTCCTAAAATATAATGAATGTTACAAAAGTCATTCTTGATGTAATCTTTAAAGCGATAAATAACACTTAATAACGATAAATTTTTTGTACAAAATATATCCAGTCTTATTCTTTTATCAATAAACGTTTATCAACATTCTATGAAATCAGCTACTCGTGCATCACTTTGGGAGGAGAAAAAAATCGAATTTTTCCGTCTCCGTTTTAATTTTAGCACTTAATAAAGTGGAGGACAAACATAATCAAGTATCTATAAATAACGTGAAAGTCACGGAAAGTAGCCGGAAAATTGGATGAAGGTTAGGTGCGTTCGGAATGATTAGATGTTGTCGCGGGCGATTTTAGACATCGACATCGTCGCCGTCGTCGAACGCTTACCTTGGGATTGCCGTTGCCGAGCCAGGGAATAACATTGTCGATGAACATGCCGATGTCCTGGCACTCGATGCTCTTGCTCAAGTCGCCGAGGAAATTGAGCAGCGCGATGCCGACGTTGAGCTTCTTCTTGATATCCGTCGTTGACAGGAGCGGCATGAAGCCGTCCATATCACGCGGATTCACCGCCATGGTCGGGCGGAGATGCTAGACGTCGCACGTCGCCCCGTCACGTCGCCGTCGTCGTGGCTGCGCACGTCGTTCTCGTCGCCGCCTCCTGTAGATGATCTCACCCGCGGGTTGCCTCTCGATCACAAAACGGGACAAGGACGATACGCGGAGAGGTGTTTCTCACTCGCGCACGTCAACACACATTATCTCGCCGCGGAAAACGGAGATATCGCGTCCTTCGTCATGCCAGCGGAGATGAGGTCGGTTCTCGCGACGAAAAGGAAACAACAGGAGGATTATCGCGAGTCCGCCGGTACCGACGAAGTCTGCACGATTTAATCACTGCGACACTCGTCGTTGCCGCCGCCACCGCCGTTCGCCGTAAGTAACGTTCGTACGTGCGGCACGATCGCCAAGCGAACCTGGTTATTCACCGAACGATTCTCGTATTGCACACACTACACGCCGATTAATGTCCGTCGTCGTTGTTGTTGAGACGCTCAGTCGAACGCCGTAGTCCGTACACACCGCAACTACCCGAACACGAACGCGGCGAAACGAGGGATCATCGGCACCGTGCACGCGACGCCATTTTCGTTTCCCCATCATAGCGGTTGGTGTTCGTTGCGCCGCTGCACGCTGCGCGCGCCGCCACTCAGCCGCCGAGCGAACTACGTTTCAAACGGTCGCGTCTGGTAACTGTCGTTTGAATTGCGTCGCATCGTGTCGCGTCGTCCCACGGCCGTTGTGCATTGCCGCGTATTATATTGTTGCGTTTCGCATCTGCTTGGCTACCCTTGTATGTTGTATCTCATTATGCGGTCGTTATCATGATATAAAGACATCATAATCGTTATAAGTTCATAACGACAGTTGTGCAGTTTTTTTTACTATCCCTAATGAAAATAAAAATCAGAGCGTAAGTCACAAATGTAATGGGAGACCCAGCAAACGAGAATGGATTAAAATGAATTGAAATGTTTTTCTATCCGAATGCGTATTTTAAATAGCGAATGTTTTTTTTTGGATTTAATTGGATTTAATTGGATGCAATTGGATTGAAAAACTGCATTTTCTATTCAAAATTTTGAATTAAACATTTTGAATTAAATATTCACAAATGTGTTCATGTGCACAGAAAAAGCTAATATTATTTTTAGATCAAAGACAATATTTCTGGAAATCTGAATCCATTTCAATTCAATTCATTCTCGTTTGCCGGGAAATAACAGAAGCGTAAACGAAACTTCTAGAAGGCGAAAATTGAAACATCAAAATGTAAAAGAAGCGTAAGTGCTTCTTTTACATTTCATTGTTCTAATTTTCCTTCTAAAAGTTTCGTTTACGCTTCTGTTACTTCCCAGCAAACGAGAATGGATTGAAATGGATTTCGATTTTCAGAAATATTGATTCATGTTAAAATGAATGCTTCTATTACTCTCCCATTATATTCGATTTACGCTTCGATTTTTCATCGGGGATATAAAATACTGCGCAATGATTGTCGTTATGAACATATAATGACAGAATTCCTGTCGCATCGTTGTATCCGGACGTTTATTCGTTTTTCGCGAGATTAATTGTAGAATCGTTCCTCTGATTTGCTGGACGATGGCGGCGATCATGGCGTATCCAATCGATTTAAATTCAAGTGAACAATGAGGTCAGTCAAAGTGACTCGAGAAAAATTATTAAAAGAAAAAACCGTAAATAATTTAACATGGTAATTGATGCATGAAAATAATACAATTAATAATTGATAGGTTTTACATCAAAATAATGCAACAATTAATTAAGAATTGGAATAATACAATTGTAATAATTGAAGTAATATAATTAAGTTAATTAATTGTTGCATAATTTTATTCGCACTGATCCCATATTTTCTGTTCTTTCCTTTCAAAGTTTAATATCGTGTCATAACTTATTAATAAAAATGCAGGAGAGATCAATTACACATATATCTTGAAATGAAATGAAAATTATAAAAATGAGCAAATTCATTGTTAAACGATTAATTACGAACATTCTAGTAAATTTGTTCACTTTTGTAATTTTCATTTCGTTTCAAGATATATGATCGATCCTCTGATTTGATGTACGTTGAATGAAGCCATGATAAAGCCTGGTATTTATCGTTTATCCCTTTTTCAGAAACGCAATGGCGATTACATCAGATTATATCTCGCGAGAATAGTGCAGCGTGAAGTTGCATTCGTACGAACTGCGGCCAGTCATTCGATTTGTATTCGAACGGTTTCGATAGGTGAATCATGTTCGTTAGACGCGCGTTTCTGCGTACGCTTTTCGTAATGATGTTTTAATGGAGGATAATAATGATGTATATATACATAGTTACATTCACATATACAATATTAGGTATATACAATACAATTTGTTATCGCTATCGCTGTGCGTCCCCGCTCGCTGTATCGTCGTTACTGAAAAACACGGGACAAAAAATACATCTCGCGAGCGCGACGACGCTGTGATTATGTGGAATTTCGACGAACGATCTTCAGCCTTCGATATTCCGCCGTTTAATAAAATTCTTATATAATCTTTATTCATACGAAGTTATACACTATTAGATGAACAGAGGAACAATCCCTTGAGTTAAATAATATTTTGTTTTTAACCTTCACACTGAGAGAAAAATGCATAAATTTTGATAAATATTTGAATAATGCCAGTTGAATATTTACGTAAACATTTAGTTGGTATGAGAATCATTAATTTGATTCAACTATTATTATATTTTTTTTTAGCAAATATTTATTTTCCGTAAGTGAATGTTATATTAATAATATTCAAATAATTATTTGGTACATTTTTCTCTCAGTGTGTATGTGTGTCAAAATTTAATTAATTCCTATAATTAGTTTCAAAGTAAATATTAATGTATATACATTTAGTAAACAATGAACTAAATTTGTGTCAAATTTAATACATTTTCTTGAGTTAAATCGTTTAACTTCATTATTTTAATTAAATTAAACATATTAAATAGAAGCAGTGGCGACTTATAGAAATTAAAACTAACTCAAATTGTGGATATAATTTGGCATTATGAATATAACAGTTACAACCTATATATATGAATGGAAAGTGCGAGCGAAATAATTAAGATCGGCAAAAAGACATCATGGTGTCTCATTTTCATTCTTTTTTCTATGATTTTTGAGCGAATAATTCAAATGAGCGAATTACGCTTGTCGTTTTTTGTACGTATATGAAAATATTCGGCGCCAACTTTAATATTAAAGCGCGATCACGAATAGATTGATTATATGTTACAGAAGAGTGGCAATAATGATATCTGCGTGAACCTGTCTGTATGTGTATAACATACAACATTTTTTGATAGCGAAATCTGGGATATGTTCCACTTAGCGTTAGCAACAAAGCTCGCGTGCATCATTTTATCTTTGTTTAATATTTTATAAACAAGGATAAAATGATGCTTGCGAATATTGCGTACGCCAAGTGGAGCATACTCCTAATAACTGCAACACTATTTGTAATTAAATAATGTTGTACATTCACACGATATACACAGAGAGATCCTTTGACAAGTCGCGAGTCATAAAACAATCCTTTAAGAAGCACAATTGCCACCTTATAAAAATTGACGAATGCTGTATGAAAAGTGTCAATTAACGCCGGTTACAGAATTACGCTCAAAATAAATAAGATCTGTATATGTATAAATATAACTTAATTTATATATAAATAATTTG